TATAATTACTGCATAGTAATAGCAACCATCCTAACACATATAGCATTGTTGGTGGTCAACCAGTGGGTTCTGCAAAGAGATCTTGATATTCCAGCATTGTATCTTTAACTGATGAGTGTACATCAGCAGTAGGTCTTGATTCCCCAGAGATAGAGAACAACAGAGTTATCACCCCACTGACGCTCTACTTCAAAAATTTATACACCTTCTCTGCTGAAATAAACTTCAGTTCAGCTTCTTCTGTCATTCCTCTCAAAAGTACCTCCTTCCCATATTTCTTGAATGATAAGGACAATTCAACAAAGTAAATAAAAAAAATGGGACCGAAACCTTTCATCCAATCCACTTCAAGGACAATATCACTGCCACCCAGCTTCAGAAATATCAAATTGGCAGTGCATTTGCCAAGAAAATCTTTTAGCCCTGCACGGCATCACGTTCCCATTGGAAACGTTAACTTTCAGGGGTGTAGTTGGTGTTGGTGGGTTGAGGGTGGTGAGGGGTTCAAATAGCAGCAGTGGTTAACGGTGCAGTTGGCTGGACGATGATGCATTCAATGAGTGCAAGCGTTGGTGGCTAATTAACATTTAATCGAGTCTGCCGACCGTTGTTTAACGTGGTGGACTGAGAAATTGAATGAAGAACCAAAATAGGTCAATTACATCATACAAATGAAAAGGATTTAGCACAAATGGTGAATTCTGTTCCCCCCCACTACTTTTGCCTTTCTTGTACCTTCTCCAGAAATTGACAACTAAGAAAGGGATGGATAGAAGAAGAGGCCTTGGTTGTGCATGGACTTGATCAGATGTATCAAAGACGAAACATGCATGTTAAATTTTTAATGTTTATTTTTACGCAGTTACTGAGTAGATTAATTACTAATTCAATGTTTTGCAGGAACCTTTTTTTCACATTCTTCCCGGCATGAAAGGGCAACGAATTGAGTTCGTTTGATGAAAGAAGCTTCCTTGACTCTTCTCCGGGAAACTTTCCTTTCCTTTGAAGGCTAAATTGCAATTCATTGATGTAGTTTTAATAAAAGCTTTAGCCACTTATTAAATTAAAAGAAGAAAAAAAACATGACATTGTGCTGCATGCAATCGCTTTCATTACTATATGCAGGTATTTCGGGTGGATGGCTTGAATTCAATTAGAAAGTCATTTTCTGGAAGTCATCTTTTGGAACAGAGAAAAATGGTATTTGATAGGAAATATATGTGCTGTAAATTTATATATTTTCAAGTCATAGGTTTATATTTAGTTAAGGATCTTTAAAAGTATTCCCGAGCAGGATCTCCACTTGCTTTGAAAATCATTGTGCATCGACCAATGTCGAATGATACAAACCTGAAATGCTTTTATTAATTTATTGCACAACAACACATCTCAATTACAATCACAAAGAATCCGGGACAAATAGTTAATTCTGGTCCTCCGTTTACATTTTAGCTCTTGCAGCTTTAAAGAAATTGTCATTTAGGAAATTTCAAACGTTCCAAATTATGTCATCTGGTTATGAACAGCTGCTAGCAAGGAGGAAGATCCTTAGGTGGAGGCAAAATAGATTGATCCGGGAGTTTTCCATTTTCGACAACAAAAGCTGTTTTCAATCCCCAGCCTGTGTGCAGTTCTAGATGACAGTGCATGAACCACACCCCTGAAAAGTAACAAACCACTTTAGATGACTGAACAACAAGAAAAACAATGAACACAATTCTCTACTAGTTTACGTTTAGTAAGTTGTGACATAAGAGGTTACATATTTGTGTTAATAAACTTACCTGGATTATCAGCCCTGAACCTTATGGCAGTCCATCCACCAGTAGGTACTCCAACGGTATTTCTCTCAGGAGGATCAACCAAGTTAAATTTTGCTGGGTCCCTTTTAGGATCAAAGTTTCCAATTCCGGTTCCAACAACGAAGAAATTGTATCCATGAAGATGGAAAGGGTGTGATTCAACAGTGAGAAGATTGGTGTCTTGTAGTACCAGTTGCACAGTTGAATTGTAGGCAATTTTACTAACCCTGGTGCCTAATGTAGTAACAAGATTGGCAGTAAGTGGTGCACCAGTATAATTGAATGGCGTTGGAGGGTTATCTGGGAAATCTAACCTAAATACTCCCTTGATGTTAAAGTAGTGAGCTTGAAGTAGACCAATTTGGGGCATTACAAAAGTGATGTTGTTCAAGGAGGCGGTGAGTTTTGTTCCGTTTAAGCATGTTGGACAAGGGTTTATTCCTAGACCGATTGTGTAAAAAAGATGCCGGTCGACTATGAGAGGCACATTTGCTTGGAATTTTGGAGAGTTTAGACTTCTAAGCTTGGCATTGTAGCTAAGCGCGAAAGCAGTGTCATTTGGTTCTGGTAGCTGAGGAAGGAGAGGAAGTACGGTGTTTGGGATACCTTTATATTGCAATATAGCAGTGGCAGTTTTGTTATCTATGGAAAGCGGTGCATCCATGAAAGGTCTAGCAGCCATGAAATATCTGTTTGGTGTTTGTGCTGCTTGAACAAGAACATTTGTGGTTTGGCCGGGTGCAATTTGTATGGCTTGAGTTGTAAAGGGTTTGGTGTAAACTGCATCAATTTCTACCACGGTCATGTTGTGACCAGCAATAGCAAAGAAAAACTCATCGTTGAGGGCAGCATTGATGATTCTCAAGAGGTATGTCTTTGCCTGTTCAACCTCCAAGGTAAATGTATCTGCCCAAAAGAAAAGGTACAGGGCATGATAAGATATCTCGGTGATCTTAATGTAGAGCATTTAGAAAATTGTTCTAAAATGTGTCTTGTAGAGCATTTAGAAAATTGTTCTAAAACGTGTCATGTTATATTCAAAGTTTTACAGGTTTGATGCTAGAGATTGTTTGGAATTACTTCAGATCATTGAAATAAACCTGGGAAATTTTTAGAAGTTGATCTATTAATCTTAAACACAGGAATCATATCCAAAAATTTGCTCACGTTTCTCAGAACATGGGAAGAGTGGTCCTGGCTTCCCATTAATGGTATGTGCATCGGAGGCATTTGGCGGCAATCCCAGCTTGTTCCCTTGTTTTTCAATATCTTCAACATCATTTTTCCACCATTCTCCTATACATTTTCAAGAATCGTTAAAAAGAATTAGAAATTAATTTATTCTATAAGACATGAGTTCATATATCAGGTTGTTGATTTCTCTGTCCCACCAAATATTATGATTTCTTCTCTATGAGGCTGAGGGAAAGGAAATGGGGTTCCTGGTTTAGGCATGATAACAATAGCTCCATAGACTGTGGCCCTTAGCCATAAGATATGTGCATGCCACCATAGTGTTCCTCTTTGACCTGTTACATTAAAATCATATGTGTAGCTATGCCCTGTCTTGATAGGACATTGTGTTATATAAGCAGGTCCATCTGCCCAGCCATTACGAAATTGCTTGAGTCCATGCCTGCAAAAACCAACATGCTTTCCCATTAGAAAAATATTCATGATCTTTCACACAATTCATGAGGTTACAAACTGGCATCCATCCATTGATCATACCAATGAATAGACATGTTATATTTGGCGTGGTTGGTGACATTCACTAGAACTCTGTCACCTTCTCTTGCATATACTGTTGGCCCTGGAAACCTCCCATTTACTGTGACAATGGGCTTGGCATGACACAGCCTGCTAACATTTTTCACTTGGATCTGAAATAAACAGAAAAAGCATAAGTGTCAGCAAGAAAGCAGAAATGCAACAGAAAGAGCATGGAACGCTAGCATTGATGTTTAAGCACTCACATCAAACTGGTATCTCTTGACAGCAGCTTCGGCCGGATAATAAATGAAGTAGAGGTAGAGAATATAAGAAGCCCAACAAAGTTTTTTTGACAACGCTGCTGCCATTTTGTTGGTCTAAATATTTTGAACGCAGCTAAAGTGTTATTTGATGAGACAAATGGAGTCAAAATCCGTTGGTATATATAGTAAGTGAAAGGGGCTAATCGGTTTGTTAAAGGAGGGAGGTGGTGTTGTTGAATTAGGTGGATGATGAGTGCTGATAGCATACCAAAGCTTGCAAGGAAGATTCTGATAGGGACTTCAAGAGTCTTAATTCAGCTTGAAGAAGAGAATAGAACAGCTGAGAATCCACAGGATTTATTAAAAATAGTAGTGGTATACGAGCAACAAGCATGAGAGCTACCCATAGCCAAACATGTCTAACCTGAGCTTTACCGTTAAGCTTGCCCAAATCTCTAATAAATTTCTAATCCTTGTGAATATAATTTTAACCATTTTCTGGCATTCCTAGCTCTTAATTCATGCACCTAATTTTCTTACTTTTGTTAGGTTTGATCGATAAAAGGAAAAGAAATTAAATTATGTGAAGGAAATAGAGGAAAGCGAAAAAAATGATCTCGAAACTTTCTCATGAAATAAGTTGGGAAAACAAAATTAAGAAATCATATTATTCACTATCACGGTACCTTGTGTGCCTGTTTTTTCTCGAGGATAATTCTTTCAATTTCATCCCACAAATGAGGAAATTCTTTTATGATATAAAAGTAAACTTGAGAATCTCCTTAAATGACTTACTTTTCTCAGCATTTCCCTTCTTTTTCGAATCTCATTTTGACGTTAAAAAAAAACAGAGAGATTAAAATTCTTTTCCTTTTCACCTTGATTGACATGGCTCTTCAATTATCTGACCAATTGTGTATTTTTGAAAATCTTCAGGAATCCTAAAATCCTTCTGGGTTCCTTGTAAAACATGATAGATCATGTTAGCAAAATCTACCCCTTGAATTCAAACCAAAAGATATTCATTTTTCGTTAGTAAATGGTTAAATGTTGTGGCTCATGTTTTTTATTAAATAGCTCTTTGATTCTGTATGAAAAATCTAACCTCTTGTCAGAATTAAATGGTTTAGTTGCAGCTTTAAAATAATTAAGTTGTGATTGCAGACTTGCAGGGGTATTTGGAATTTTTCTTTTCTTTGTTAGAAGACAAAAGTGCTCCGATGGGTACTGCTGGGACTCTAGACAGATTCAGAAATCTTCCTGACAAAATTGTTCATCAGATTCTTCTCTTTATTTCCATGGAAGAGCTTGCTCGATTCAGATAGGTTTCTAAGAGTATGAGCAAATATCAGTACATCACTAGTCGGAATTCCCAACATCCCTCACCTGACGTTTGATAATAGGACTCACTGGATGTAAAAGGTTGTGTTTCACTATCCCTCACCTGACTTTTGATAATAGGACTCTCCGACCGATTGATCCAGATCGTCAAATCCAACATAATTTGTTTCTTAACAGATGGATGGATCTGCGTCAGGATGATGCATCAAGATTTCAACATTGTATCTCAATTGGTCCTTCGAGGGAACCTATTCTTACGAAGAATTCTACGTTGGCAAATTATTGTCTCAGGCTGCGGGTTCTGAAATTGAACTTCTTAAGATAGAAGTTATTACCAGATCTGCAACTGCTTTTAAACTACTAGTTTCGGTCTTGAAATGCGAACCCTTGAAGATTCTTATGCTTATCTTGACGAACCGAGGCATTGTGAGATTTCCCTCGTTATCGTCTTCTTATTTCTACATTTATCTTGACAAACTAAGTCATTGTGAGATTTCCCTCGTTATCGTCTTCTTATTTCTACATTCTTTAAACAACTAAAGTTAGAAAATGTACATCCAGCGTATTGAGTTTATTAGAGATTTGGGCTCAAGCTTCTGCGAGTGATTGAAGCTTTTGCAACTTTTAAATTGAACTGAGCTAAAACAAGTTAACATCTGCCAACCTCGCCAACACAATATAGGTGCTGGACCCAGCAAGTCCCAACGCATCATGGGTGTAGGACCAGGAAGTTTACAGTTTGAATTTGTTTCTAAACATGGACGTTGGATATATTTCTAAGTATGAATTTTGTACCCTTACAGAACTAAAACTTTGAAACTTTTTCTTAAGAATTTTTTCAAACGATGGATTCATGCTGGTTCATTTTTTTTTCAACTCTCTAAACTTACATATTTTAGTGTTTAAAGCATTAATCACATAAAAACAAAAATAAACATTCTTGTTTTTAGAATTTAAAGCTTTATTTATTTATTTATTACCATTATCATTTAAAATTACTGATTTTATTATTAGAGAATCTTTAAATCTCACTGTTAGAAATTGTTTTGCAAGTTTCAGGACTTCTATAGCCAATTTCATACTTCATATAAACTAAGAAAAAAATATTGACATGAATATTTAATTAATTAGTATTCAAGCACAGATAACATATTAAATTTTGGGATATTATCATCATAGTAATGCATGTCTTCAGTTTTTTTTTTTTTTTCTCTATGATAGACGCACACATGACTTATTATGTCTTACAATTTTTGCTGAGAATCCTACTTGTCTTGTTTTGGCATGGTATCCTTACAACCTTGGTTCTTCTTTAACACTCTCCACACCTAAGCTTAAGCATATTTTATGGTATGGATATCATCAATCTTATACGATATCAGCGTTTTTGTAAACGTTTCACTAGCATTTCACTAGCCTTCCTTACACTTATCTTCCCGATTTATCGCAAGTTCTCCTTTGTGGCTTGCATCAGATTGTTCAGAAGGTAAAAAAAAAAAAAAAAAAGGCCATCGAGCCGTGTGTGTGAGAGAAAAAGAGATAGCGAGTGGTGTGATTATAACTAAAAGAAAGGAGTGCCCAGAGTGTAAATATTAACGACTTACCTTTTGGTGTATCATAGAAGGTTTGCAAGTGTTATTATAATAAAAAGTTAGCAGCACTACTGCTGTCCTAAATCGTACAAGTGGTATCAGATCCTTGCGCCAAGTTCAACATTCAATCACAGCTCTTGTCCAAATCAAGCCCAGCAATAGGAACACCTAATATGAAATCCCTGCGCCTATTGGAACGCTGGCCTCTGCCCTTTTCTTCTTCACTCAGGCACAAACTACTTTAGTTTTCTTTCCCACGACCATTATTTCACTGGCATGCTAGGCCCATTTAATGGTGTAAGACATTTGCTGTGTTATGAAAAACAATTTTCACTCTAAGTTGTGTGAGTTTTCAATCTTTGATCCAAGTCCACTCGTCAGTTTTCTGATGATAATCCATAGAAGGCTGAACCTCCTGTCTCTGTTGATGTTATAAGATAATTGTAGAATGTTTTATTCTGTAATGCTCTGTGAAGTTCAGATTTGGTTGGAAAGTTCTGCTTTAGTGTGTTTTAACAACCTGCCAATTCTTTTCTCACGGGCATCCAGTAACGCCATTAGTTCATACGTGGAGAGTTTGGCGTTATCTATGGATTCTTGTATTTCAACAACATGCTCAAATTTCCGGGGCAAATTCTTAGTTCCTTCCCAGTATTTGTTTGTCGGATTTCCATGAATTCAAAACTAGATTATTAAAATTTCTCCAGGGTTTGGAGCTGCATAGAAACAATCCTGTTGTACTTCCTTGAAATATCTGTACATAACTTCCTGGGTAGTGGGCAGCCATCGCCTTTTGTGCCCCAAAAGTCGAGGATAAATGTTTCTCTTGTATTGTTTTAATTGCGCTGGCTCCTGTCAAAAGGACGCCTCTGAATTCTGCTAGTCTTTAGAAAACATTTGGACCTTTAAATCTAGTCATGATATCTTTCTTGCAATGTTTCAGGCACATGTGAAGAAAGAAGAAGGGGAGGAGTATGCTGGGAGATATTGGGAACACCTAGGCCTGTATCTTGTTAACCATTTAGAGGAGTAAAAAGGGATTGCTTTTCAAGTAAAATAGGAGAAAACCTTCTGCCCTTACTGAAAAATGGCGTTTTCTTAGGATTCCGAGTGAAAAAGAAAATGGCCAAACTAAAGAAACAAAGCAGTTTATAAATGATTTATCTAGGATGAAGGCTTTTTACTTAAAATTGCACGCCTTATATTTGGAGACTGGGATGATTGGTCAAGTTTTTTACTGAGAAAAAGGTATTGATAGTCTCTGTAGACGTGCTTGTAAAATATCAAGGAACTGCACGCCAAATTCCTGGTTGTACTGTTTTTCTTTTTTGCCAAATTCCATTTCCATTTGCCATTTACGCGTGTTGATTATTAAAAATGAATTTTTTTCTCTTTAAAATCAAGTGCTCGTATATATAAAAAGAAAGTTCT